AAATCGCACGATAGAGAAGAATATAAGTGAAATTTGTTCCTAAACTCCATAGCCTTTAGAAGATAAGTACAGACGTATCCGTAACGATCCTCCAGACTCTACTAAGATTGCTCGTGACTCGTGAGACCTATGTAACCTAATGCTTTGATACCAACTTGTCACAATCCGGAATTCCCACCGTCGGGACCGTGATGGCGCCTAACATTTCACTTGCTAGTCAAGCCAACGTTAGAACAATTTATCCATTTTTAAGAGTTTATATTAAATAATGAGAAAGAGATAAAATAATTGCAATAATCCAAAGTAAAGTGCGGAAGCTACAACAACTAAAATATCTGATACAATCGTGGAAGCGGTGTCACAAGTGCACGAGGTACTAGAATAGTAAAAATAATGGTCTGAATAAAGCATAAAGCTGTCTGAAATAAAGTACACGGCTAAATAAGAAAATAGAAAGGGGACTCTAGGAGTTGAGGACGCTAAGCAGCTGTACCTCAAGTCTCCGTAAGCTGGCCAATCTGAGCACGCTAATAACCGCCGCTGGGACCGACTCCAAAATCTGCACAAGAAGTGCAGAGTCTAGTATGAGTACAACCGACCCCATGTACTCTGTAAGTGCCAAGCCTAACCTCGACGAAGTAGTGACGAGGCTAAGGCATGTCACCTACACTATAACCTGTACGCAATATGTAATAAATACATGAAAAGATAAATACGGAACGAAATAAGGCAATTAACTGAAGAAAATAGCTAAATCCTCAAAGAAGAACCAGTGTCAATCAGAATTGCCAATCCTTAAAGTTCCGAAAGTAAATACCGACAACCAACACAGCTCCAGGAAATAGAAACACATAGCTTGTTGCGACGCTCATCCCGATCCCACTGTACGATACAAAGTCCTCCCTTATTCCACAGTAACAACATCAACAATCATAAATATATATATTGTGACGTGCAACCCTATTCCACCATATAACAATATCAGTATCTTAATTCACCATTATTTTATCATATCAATCCACCCTTATTTATTCTATTACGTGGTGCAACTCGATCCCACCGTACAGTACAAATTCACCCTTATTCCACCATATCAATCTACCCTTATTTCACCTGTTGCGGCGAGCAACTCGATCCCTCCATATCAGTACCAAATACTCAATGAGCACAGCCAAATCAATAATTTAAATCACAAGAATCTCTACGATCAATGAATACAACGCTGAACCAGAAAGGAAACCTTGTAAAACATGGTAATTCATATAAGTAATACTACACAACAAGTCAAGTCCAGTAAATGTTAATTAGAAGGTGCAAGTAAGTCAATTAAGGCAAGTATCAATGAATCATGAAAATATGGAAAGATCTAACATTGTTAACAGGATAAAACACTGATTAACAGGTAGCAAATAAACATGGCAACCATGTAGAGCATATAGCATTTAAGACAAGGAAGGAGATAATTAAGGAAAAGCAGAAAATCAGGCAAAACAATTAATTCGGCGGCGTATAATCACTCGTCACCTCGTATATACGCCGCAACACATGAAATTCGCATAGCACATTCTGAGGGTTCCTAATTCCGTCAAATCAAGGTTAAAACTCAATACTTACCTCACTCCACAGTCAACTTAGAGCTCTACTAGGGCCTTTCCCCTAGAATCCGCTCCAAACCACTCGTATCTAACCATAATTGACTCAATAATATCAAATATTGCTAAAGAAATTAATTATAATGCATAAATTTAAAATTTTCAAACTTTCCCCAAAAGTAAAAAATCGACCCCAGGCCCGCTTGGTCAAAACCCGAGGTTCGGACCAAAATTCGTTTACTCATTCACCCCCGAGCACGATTATGTAATTAATTTCGAAATCCGACCACAAATTGAGGTCTAAATCTCTAATTTGCAAAAACCGCCAATTATTCCTAAATCCCTAGTTTTCTACCATGGAAGAACAAATATTAGGCTATGAATTAATGGAAGAAAATGAGTTAAAGTGTACAAACCTATGAATTGATGTTGAGTTTTCTCTTCAAAATCTCTCCTAGGCCGAGCTCTAATGGAAGGGTTATGAAAAATGGGATAAATCCCGTTTTTTGGTATGTTTTAATCACTGGTCGTCAGGCCTTCTTCGCATTTGCGAAGGGCCTGATGCGATCGTGAAACAACGACTCAAATAGCCTACGTGTTAGCGAGATACCCTTCGCGTTCGCGAAGGTTTACACCCACCATCCTACGTGTTCGCGAGCCATGTGCCGCGTTCGCGAAGAGTAAAGTCAGTTCCCCTACCCAAGTCCCTAAAGCTACGCGTTGGCGAGAGGTTGGTCGTGTTCGCGGAGGGTTAAAACCCCAACACTACGTGTTCGCGACCCAACCATCGCGTTCGCGATGAAGTAAATCCCACCCAACAGTTCACTCTTTGCGATCGTGAGAGTATCTTCGCGAGATGACAGCTGAAGTTGATAAAAACCAGATTTTTCTTAAGTTTAAACCATCCGTAGCTTATCCGAAATTCACCCGAGCCCTCGGGGCTCCAAACTAAATATGCACACAAGTCCAAAAACCTCATACGAACTCGCTAGCTCGATCAAAACACCAAAATAATGCCTAGAACTACAAATCGGACACCAAATCAAATGAATTTTTCAAGAAAGCTTTAAAACCTCTATTTTAACAATCGGACGTCCGTATCACGTCAAACCAACTCTGTTTCTCACCAAATTTGATAGACAAGTCATAAATATAGTAATGGACCTATACCGGGTTCCGAAACTAAAATACGGACCCGATGTCAACAAAGTCAAACTTCGATAAATTCTTTAAAATCATTAAACCTTTAAAATTTTTGACAAAAATCAATAACTCGAGCTAGGGACCTCCAAATTCGATTCAGGGCGTACACCCAGGTTCCAAATCGCGATACGAACCCATCGGGACCGTCAAAATACAAATCCACGTCTGTTTGCTCAAAACGTTGAACGAAGTCAACTCAAAATGGATTTTTAATTCAAAATTTCATGTTTTATCAGTTTTTAACATATAAGCCTTCCGGAAAAATACCCGTACTGTGCACGCAAATTAAAAAATGCTTAAAGAAGCTATTGGAAACTTCGAAATACAGAATTAGGTTTTAAAACTCTAAATGACATATGGGATCATCACAACTTCCCTTTGCAATTATCGGAAATATATCTTGAAAAAATAAAATACAAAGAAACTCGAAGATATCTCGACCTACTTTAAGCCTTTTTAAGGATTCAGATCAAGTGTGCCCTATTCATTTTAGCCTTGTGGACAATGGCGGAGCCATCCTTAGTTTAATTTAAGGCGTGTTAATTGATAGTATTCTTGCTGAAAAATTATGCTGTGTACAATAGTTTATATATATATATATATATATATATCCATTTTCTTTTCGATGATTGTTTTTAATTAGCACATGATCATGTTTTGAAGTTTTGAAAGAGATTGGCTGAGGAGAGACCTGAATGTGATTGGATTTGGTTTGATTGGATGGCTGGCTCCTTCTAGCATTCCAGTAATCAATGGCAAGAGTTTGAGTGGCCTTNTATATATATATATATAAAATCACTTCGGCTCTTTTATGTGTTTATTTTTCTATATTTTAATTTAATTTTTCTAGTGAAAATTCTGATTCAAATATTTGTTCGGACCACCGCCGAGTAGTTCCATACGATCCTAAGAGACCAATTCCTTAATTATTCTTTCACATTTGGCCTCTATATTCTATATGACCTTAATTTCCTTCAATAATGATAAAGTTATGATATTTTGTGTTTTGATGATTTGCCAAACAGTCTCGTGGAATTAGTTGTGATCATTTTCTTTGGTCCGGTTCTCAGAGGGAATATCAATTCTGGGTTTGTCATCATAAAAAAGGAGAAAAATGATAAGTTATGCTATTTTGTGTTGTGATAATTTAACAAACTTCATGAGAGAACCAGATAAGGAACCTGATACGATTAGTTTCTTTTTGTTAACAGTAACTAGTGAGATGTCTGGTTGAATTCTCAATGAAAGCAGAGAAGGGAATAATAGAGGGAATAGATAGGGATCAGTTCCTCCGGTCGCAGTACAAGTCAACTCAATAGTTGTTAAAGTTTCTGCAGCGTACTCGCAATAGTACAGCAGCACTGTTGAAGCGCGCAGCGGACCGAACACTCCCTTGCATCATCTTTCATGATCTCACATATATATTATCAACATGATGCAAGGGGTATCACTTAACATTTGCAAATCTAAAAATCATATTCTCTCAAGTGCTAGCCGCCACAGCCTCAAGGCTCTCTCAGAACCAAGCTGCTACAACCTCTGTACAGTTTGATGGACCCTTAGTTTCTATCGTATAACAAGCTATTCTATTAACAGAATCCATACTCAATATAGAAAAGTTCTTTTACGTACAAGCTGCCTCATGCATTAATGAATAAATCTCCCCTCTTACCGCTGAGTGCAGTATACAACAACAACAACAACCACCCAGTATATTCTCACAAGTGGGGTCTGGGGAGGAAAATATGTACGCAGACTTTACCCCTACCCCGAGGGGCAGAGAGGCTGTTTCCAGGTTACCGCTGAGTGCAGTATGGCTAAAGAAAACTAACATCTAATAAATCTCCCCTGTAGAGCTTGCTTCTAGATGTTCATTAATTAAACAATAATTTAGTTTAGCGAGATAACTAATGAAGGAATTAATCAGGTGAAAATAGTGAAAGAATTTTTTTCCTTTTAAAGTACAAGAAAATGCAGTCTCTAACAGCTTAACTTGGGTCCACTTGGTAAACTTTATGTAACATGCAAGAAAGAGTCGATGAGAGAATTGCCCTAGAGAAGTTTCTTTGGTGTTCATGAAATATAGAGGGAGAGAGGACACCAATATCCATCTCACCTAACTAAAGAAAAATGACATACCAGCAAATTAAATTAAAAACCTTTTCACATATATATACTTTGCGTTGGCAGGTCATAAATCCAGAAATGCAACAATTCTAAAAACATTAGAACTGAAAAGAAAATCACTAAAAACATAAGGCAAAATGGAGTCTTGGCTTCGTTTTTTCGTGCTCTTGGCCTGCCTCTCTCCAGCTTTTGCCATTACTCGGCATTACAAGTTCAATGTAAGTACTAACTACTTTTTCCTTTTATTCTCTTATGTGTTTTCAGCCAAGATAAGCATATGTTGTACTAGAAGAACAATTAACGTTTTTAGTCATGTTATTGTAACTATAATAAACAATTTACTGAACTAATACTCCATGTTTGTTTGTCGTAGTTTGACTTGACACAAAGTTTAATAAATAAAGAGGGACTTTTGAAACTTGTGATCTTAAATATGTCATAGCATTTATGTTACTATATAAGCTTTTCATCTAAAAAATAATAAAATGTGTCATTCTTTTTGCAACATATTAATAAGGAAATAGTGTCAAATGGACCGGAACATTCAAGTTGCAAACATTGACCAAGTGATTGTTGCACTCAGTTACAGGAAAAGATATGCTATGAGAAATCATTAGTTTATTCTAAAAAAAATTTGTATTCCTCTTTTTCTTCCAGTTTTTTGGGAAAAAAAACAAGAGAATATAATGCATTAATGCTTCTAAAGTTTTTCTGTAATTCCATCCACTGTTAACGATCGAACTGTCAGAAAACGTGTAGTACTATTAATTTAGAAAAGGTTGGCAAGGTAATTAAGTAGCTACATCTCTTTAACGACAAGCCCATGTAAATTAGTAAGAGTATATTCCAAAGAGCAAAGTAGTTAGGAATGAGAGAAAACAAAAGATATATAGAAAGTAGTTTGGGGCGGGTCACTTGGTCCAGTTAGGGGATGCCACATGGATCTTAAAAGCTGGGAGGGTGTTTTTAACGGATAATGGATAAATATATACCAAATGTATAACGGTGGAGATGTTTTTGATAGATCTGAAAGGGGGACAAATGAGGCCTATTTATGATAATACAGGGGCAAATTAGACCCTTTTCCGTAAAATAAATTGGTTGAAGCCACATGCAGAAAATTGTTACACTTTTTATCTATATAGTAGGTGAAATAAATGAAAAACCATAGATCAATAAGCCACTTTTCTATAAAAATGTACAAGCTATATTTTTTGAATTTAACTTATACATACGGACAGACGGCAATTTAAATTGAAAAAAATACAAGTAATCAACCATTCATAAAGTAGGATTAATAACTCGAAAATAAAAAAAGTAGCATACTACAACAATTCTAAATGTGGTGATAGTGTAAATCCAACCGTATATTTTTTTGCTTCGTTTCCTTAACTAAGATTGTTGGTGTTCCAGGTGGTAATGAGAAACATGAGTCGCCTATGTTCAACCAAACCAATTGTCACTGTTAATGGAAGGTTCCCAGGACCCACAATCTACGCTAGAGAAGATGATAGAGTGCTTATCAAGGTTCTTAACCATGTCAAATATAACGTCTCTATCCATTGGTAAGTCATTTTTCTATTTGTTACGTATAATTTTAACGATCTCGAAAACTAGAACTCAAAAAGTTCAAATCCTGAATGCGTCTTTAATTACAGGCACGGGATCAGACAACTTAGAACGGGTTGGGCAGATGGACCGGCATACATCACACAATGTCCGATTCAACCAGGGCAAAGCTACATATACAACTTCACAATCACAGGGCAAAGGGGTACGCTGTTTTGGCATGCTCATGTTTTGTGGCTAAGGTCCACTGTCCATGGTGCTATTGTTGTCCTGCCTAAGCGTGGTGTGCCTTATCCATTCCCCAAACCCAACCATGAAGCTGTTGTTGTTTTAGGTGAAAGTTTATATATATATATATATATATATATCATTTCACTTTAACATTCTCTTAGCTTCATTGGAAAATTAGTTATGTACTAGGAAGTTGGAGTTGAAAATTTTAATGGTCATTTGCAGCTGAATGGTGGAAATCTGATACTGAAGCTGTGATTAATGAAGCTCTAAAGTCAGGTTTAGCTCCAAATGTTTCTGATGCTCACACAATCAATGGTCATCCTGGACCAGTTTCCAATTGTCCGACCCAAGGTAGTAATACTTATTGTTGAATTTGGGTTATTGTTACTCTCTAGTTAATTTTATTTTATATGACGTATTAAGGGGTGGAACTAGTTAGAAACCCGGCTATGGGTTCGGATGAACTCATAGTAACTTTTGCTTAAATATTATATTTGTGTTAAAAAATTCATTAAATATGTACAAATATTAAATTTAGAACCCAGTTGTTAGTACTTGAAGTTGTCATTCCATAATTCAAAACCCATTAAATTTAAATCCCTTGCTCCGCCTCTCGAGTCTCGGCTGGAACTTGTTTAGGTGAAGTTTAAAAAGAAAAGAAGATTTTTTTCAAGTACCCTTAGAATGTGTGATCTTAAATATCACTTGCCTTTTTTTTTTTATGACAAAAGGGCATGTCATTATATATATATATATATATATATATATGTGTGTGTGTGTCATTTTTCGGTTAAAAAGAAAATGGTACGTACCATATAAAATGAAATAAAAGAAATATTATTTGTTACACATAACTGGCGCTAACAAATTTGATTTTTGGGCAATATGATAATGCAGGTGGATATACATTGAGTGTTAAACCTGGAAAAACATACATGTTACGAGTGATCAATGCTGCGCTCAATGAAGAACTCTTCTTTAAGATTGCTGGCCACAAAATGACCGTAGTTGAAGTTGATGCAACCTACGTAAAACCCTTCAAAACAGACACAATTGTAATCGCCCCTGGCCAAACAACAAATGTTATAGTCACTGCTGATCAAAGTTTCGGAAAATACATGGTTGCTGCTTCTCCCTTTATGGATGCTCCTATCGCCGTCGACAACATCACCGCCACCGCCACGTTGCATTATTCCGGCGCATTAGGCAGTTCTCCCATAACTCTCACTAGTACTCCGCCTCAAAACGCCACTTCAGTCGCCAACAATTTTCTTGACGCTCTAAAAAGTCTTAATTCGAAAAAATACCCAGCGAAAGTTCCACAAACAGTGGATCATTCGCTGTTTTTCACTGTTGGACTAGGAATTAATCCATGTCCAACGTGTAAACAAGCTAATGGCAGCAGAGTTGTCGCTAGTGTAAATAACATTACATTTGTTATGCCAACGGTAGCGCTTTTACAAGCGCATTTCTTTGGCATAAATGGAGTTTTCACAACAGATTTTCCTGCGAATCCGCCGTTTGTTTTTAACTATACTGGAACAGCACCAACAAACTTGGCTACAACGACAGGGACGAAGGTTTATCGGTTGCCTTATAATGCAACAGTTCAATTAGTTTTGCAAGATACTGGAATTATAGCTCCTGAAAATCATCCAACCCATTTGCATGGTTTCAATTTCTTTTTAGTAGGTAAAGGACTAGGAAATTTCAATTCCAAAACAGACCCTAAGAATTTTAATCTTATTGATCCTGTTGAAAGGAATACAATTGGTGTGCCTTCTGGTGGATGGGTTGCCATAAGATGGCGTGCTGACAATCCAGGTATATCAACTTCCTTTTTCCCTCTTGAGTTTAAGCTCTATACGCTGATACAAATATTATAATAAAATATTTACACAATTAGGTACATAGTGTTAAACCAGCAGAATAGAGTTGAAATTTTCATATTTTTATGTAATATTATTCTCATATGTTATATATATAATTATCTGTAACATATGAGAATAATATTACATAAAAATATGAAAATTTCAACTCTATTATGCTGGTTTAACACTATGTTCATTTAAATTTCTATAATAAGCATTATTTGGTAACTCAACAAAAATGATAACTAACCTGCTATGTATAGGTTAAACTACAGTTCTATCAAAATCTATATTGTCAATGTATATAACTTCAATACTTTAGACTTTTAATTTCAATTGGGTAATAATGATTTATTCTTTTGTTATAATTTGGGTGAAATTGCAGGAGTTTGGTTTATGCATTGTCATCTAGAGGTGCACACAACATGGGGATTGAAAATGGCATTCCTTGTAGATAATGGCGAGGGTCCTAGTGAGTCACTTTTGCCACCTCCAAAGGATCTCCCAAAATGCTAAAAAAACGGTGAAAATCATTTAGTTCAGATCACAAATCTTCATGTGCAATATGTAAGAATGCTGCACCATGCAATTAGAGAAAGAAGAATTAGAGAGTCAATAAGCAATGTACTATTCATTTTCTTGAGTGAAAAAAGAAAGGGAGATTTTTGCTCAAGCAATCCTGCCCTCAATATTTATGTTTGTATGCATATATACATTTTTTTGTCGTTGTTCATGGAAGTTTGAGAAATGGATTGTTTCTTTTATTTCTTATTATTATCGCTCCCAATTCACACTTTCTGTTAAAGTTTTCTGAATGTTTTTAATTTAGAAATGACATTATACATAGTAACAGAACAAAAAATAAGTTCATAGTGAATCCTCACTGATCTGCATTTTTCATGTGTAGATTCAATCTCGACTAATTAACAAACAATTTGATGAAAAATGGAATCTGTTAAGCTATTTAAGACAGAGAAATATTAAAGTAGATCATACATGAGTTCACATATATAACATGTGGTTAATTACAAAGGATAAATGCAATCTTGTACTAGTCTATGCTAGTACTCCCATTTAAATCAATAAATGCAGAACATATGTCTATGAATACTGTAGACATCGAAATTTTAATGGATCAAGCTAAATCTTAAATTCAAGACTCTAGAAATCCTAGGAGTCTATTAGAGTTTCTTGGAGGTTACTGTACCATAAACCCTAACGCACACCTATATAAAGGGATATATATTCCCTTGAAGAGGCGTCTAAAAAAATCTCATAAATTCTCGGAATATTTACAAAGGGATCAAGGAATAAAATAATGCCGTGATTAATAGATGTTCTTCTTGATAATCAAATACTTCAAGAAAAATATCCATACAATGATCGACTTTCATGGAGATCAAATAATCCAGAGAGGTCCGTATCATCCTACGTTCGAGAATACGCTGATTCAGCCCTCGAATCACGGAGAACAATTCGGAGGAAGAATCAAGGGATAAACAGAGTTGTAACCAGCAATGTTTATCAACAAAATCATTTTATTCTTTTGTGGTTGCAGTTTATTTTTCGTATGTTGAAAATTTATTGCAAACAAATGTATACATTTATAATTTAACTATGTTAATTTATTCACTTTCATTTTAGCTGTAAAGATTAAATTGTATGATTTGATGTAAACGACTGGTGCGGGAGTCACCCCAAACACAAAGTGCGGCCAAGACTTTACCGCTAGCTTAACTATTTCTTACTTATTTTTCTCTACTAGTGTTTGTACACGATTAAAGTGCTTAAACAAGTGAATAATGACTCTGGTGCCACTATCCTCCCATTAGTTCTTTTCATATTTACCATGTTTTTTTTTTGTCGTATCATTTTAAGAGAAGAAAATAATGACAGTATATAATAGTTTTTTACTATATATATGACACACAGCTTACAACTTATACAATATTCAAGGTCTTTCATTATTTTATTTGCAACTGTGACCATAAGCTAATCTTATCAAGTCCAGCACAACTTGCACTCTGAAATGCATAGGAGACTGCTAATTAGCCTATGATGGAATCAGACAAAGCACTGGGAGTGTACAAATCGAACCGGAAAATCGCATCAAATCGAAAAGTCAAATCAAACCGATTAATAGGTTTGGTTTGATTTGGTTTGGTATTGAGTAAAAAAATCCGAACCAAACCGACATATAAATATATAATTTATATATATATTTTAAGATTTTATATAGAATTTTTTCAAAAATGTCTAGAAATATTTGGAATTCTCTTACGTGATATAATATTTAATAGAATATGATGTGCTCTATATTTATTAACCTTAAGTAATAGGTTGTATGATCACTTTCTTATCAAGTGTTAATGAAATGTGTCAATCTCTTTGTTCTTCCATATTCATATACCAAGTGTAGAAATTTAGGAAAATTCTTTTCTCATTGATGATTCAATATTCTGTACAGTGTGTATATTTATACAAGGATTTGAAAATCAGCAAGGACCACTACAGCTATACTAATTACAAGTGTCTAATTCCTATATGTTTCCCTATAACTAATTGTACTATGAAATGTACAGATATTATCTAGCTGTAATTGATATGTACAAATATTATCTAGCTGTAATTTGCATTTGGATAAGAATGTTCTGGAAGGTTTGAGTGTCTTTCAGCTATATCCAATATGCTACAAAGAATGGACCGGATCTTAGCTGTAACAATAGGCCCAGTCCTTTGTTTGTATTGGGCTTCTGACTTGTGTTTTGTATGTTGGCCCAATTCCTTATTGTACCCGATAAGTCCTCGTATAATAGACTTTGGTCTTGTACTTTGTTGATCAGTCGACCTACTTCTTGTCTCTTTCTCTCTCTTTGTCTTCGACTGTATCGTCTCTTTTTTGACAAAATTAGGGTTTAGGGTCTGATTAGAAGAATCCGGTCCAACACCCCCCCCCCCCTCAAGTTGGAGGGGTTAGAAAGCACACCCAACTTGGAGATGATCGATTTGTGTAAAGGCCCAGAAAGGGGTTTTGTAATCACGTCTGCGAGCTGAGATTTTGACGGAACAAAGGATAATGAGATCAGTCCGGGGAGGAACTGTTGACGGACAAAGTGACAATCGATTTCCACGTGCTTCGTTCGTTCATGGAAAACATGGTTTTTTGCTATGTGAATAGCCGTCTAGCTATCTGAATGAAGAGAAACTGGCGAGAAGGGGGAAACTGAGAGATCTGTTAAAAGGCGTATAAGCCATGTGAGTTCTGCAACGACCTTCTTCATTGATTTGTATTCGGCCTCTGCAGAAGAAAGAGAGATTGAAGACTGTTTCTTTAATTTCCATGAAATTGGAGATCCTCTGAGGTTGATATAAAAACCACTTACTGAGCGACGAGACTCCGGACAGGATCCCTAATCGGAGTCACAAAATGCTAGCAATTGAAAAGAGGGGTCTGGTTTCATAAAAAGTCCAAGCCCCGGCGAAGATAGTAGATATCGGAGATAGTGCAACCCAGCTTCAAAATGAGGTCGACGGGGGCTTTGCATATATTGGCTGAGATGTTGAACTGCGAATGAGAGGTCAGGGCGAGTATGTGTTAAAAATTTGAGCTTGCCCAACAGTCGCCTATAGATGGTGGGATCGTGAAGTGGCTCACCAACATCTGCTCGAAGCTTGCAACTATGGTCTAGCGGAGATGAAGCTGGTCGTGAATCAAGAACAACAAATTCAGAATGAAGCTCCAAGGTGAACTTCCTTTGACTGATAATTAGTCCCTGCTTTTCTCGTAGTATTTCCATTCCGAGAAAATAACTAGCCTCTCCAAGATCCTTAATTTTGAATTCTGAATTGAGGAATTCTTTTAGATTAGAAAGTTCTATAGGATCATCACCTGTTAGAAGTATGTCATCTACATAAACAGCAACAATTGAAATTCCAGAAGTTGTCTTTTTGAAAAACAAAGAGTAGTCGTTAAGAGAGTGGGAATAGCCTTTGAAATTGAGTGTACCTGTGAGTCTTGCGTACCACTGGCGTGAAGCCTGTTTAAGTCCATATAAGGACTTTTTTAATCTGCAAACATGATTAATAGAAGGTGAAGTCATCCCTGGTGGAAATCTCATGTACACTTCTTCCTGTAGATCACCATGAAGAAAAGCGTTATTAACATCTAATTGAAATAATTTCCAGTTCATTTTGACTGCAACTGCTAAAATTCATCTAACAGTTGTCATTTTAACCACCAGACTAAAAGTCTCATTGTAGCATATTCCTTCCCTTTGTATGTCACATCGGATAACTAGTCGAGCTTTGAATCTTTCAATACTTCCATCATATCTATACTTAACCTTATAGACTCATTTACAAGGTAAAGGTTTCTTTCCTTTTGGTAATTCAACCACTTCCCAGGTTTGGTTGGCCTCCAAGGCTTGGAGTTCTTTTGCCATTGCATCCTGCCAACTGGGATGTAAAACTGCTTGGGAGAAACTTGTAGGTTCAATGATGTGAGAAACAGAGTTTAAAAGAGATTGATTTGTAGGAGAAAGGTCTGTGAAAGGTAGGGTAACAGGTGAGATAGGTGCTGCAAAACAAAAATTTGTTAGATCAGTCAAGTACACTGCATTGCACACATAATCTGCCAGATAAGATGGTGGATTGTGTTCCCTAGTAGATCTCCTTAGTTCAGGTTGAAAGGAAATAAGAGATGGAGAAGAAATGGACCTGGAGAGAGGGGATGAGGGAGGAGCTGTACTAGGTGATGCTATTGAGGATGGTTGTAGGACTAGCACTTAGTTCTGAAGAAGAGTGGTTATCAGACTGAGGGAAAGAGTGGGTTTGGTCTGATATAGTAGAAACTTCTTTAGGGAAAATGGGTGGTTCAGGTGTAGGAGAGGAAAAAGGGAATATGTCTTCATAAAAAACTACATCTCTAGAAATAAAAATGGTTCTAGAGTGAAGATCTAACAGTTTGTTCCTTTCTTTCCAAAAGGATATCCTATAAAAACACACTTGACTGATCTAGATTCAAGTTTTGGCCTGTGGTGAGGTAAAGTAGAATCATAACATAGACAACCAAAACATTTTAAAGAATCATAAGATGGAACTTTTCTAAAAAGAATTTTAAAAGGTGTTTTGAAGTTAAGTACTCTAGAAGGAAATCTATTTATTAATAAAGTAGCAGTAAACAAACAATCACCCCAATACATAGTAGGGAGATTAGACTGAAATAATAAAGCGCTACATGTCTCTAGAAGATGCTTGTGTTTTCGTTCAACCACTCCATTTTGTTGTGGTGTAGCAACACAAGAGGTTTGATGAAGGATTCCATTAGAGGACAAAATTTTTGAAAGAATGGATCCCGATCCTAATTCCAAAGCATTATCTGCACGAATGATTTTAACTTTTGTTGCAAACTGCCTTTCTACCATTGCTAAAAAAAGATTTTAAAACTGGAAAGGCATTGCTTTTTGTTCTTAAAAGATAAGTCCAAGTTCCCCTACTATAGTCATCTACTATGGTCAAGAAATATCTATAACCATCATGAGTTGGGACCTTGTATGGTCCCAAGAATCAACATGAATAAGTTGAAAAATTGAACTTGTGTTGATAGTACTTGAATGAAAAGGCAATTTTGCCTGCCTAGCTTGAGAACATATATCACAAGGATCATTAAATTTGGCCAGAGAAGGAAACTGAAAACTGGATATATTTTGCATACTAGATAAAGGCATATGCCCCAACCTTTTGTGCCAAAGGCTTACATTAGAATTAACTCTAGCAGAACAAGCAACTAATTGAGAGACTATGTCTTTCCTAAGGTTATTACAAGCTGAATAAGACTGAAAAACTATTTGACTTCCATAAATTAGTACAGAACTGAGGGAAGCTGGATTGAGAAGATATAGGCCTTCATTCACTTCACTAACTACCACTGGCCTCTTCAGTGAAGGGCCCTGCAAGAATGTACCAAAAGATGAGAAAAGTAAGGTACAGATGAGTTGTTTAGTGAGTTTGTTAACTGAAATTAGGTTAAATCTGAAATCTGGAACATATAACACATTGTTTAGGATTAAATCTGGCAGAACATGCACACTACCTACTTGACTGACCTTAACTTTATATGAATTTGGGAGATTGACATATAGAGATTTGGTTAGAGGTTTCACATTGAATAAAATGGAATAATCAAAAGTTGTATGTTCTGAAGCCCCTGAATCTATTATCCAGCAGGTAGAATTCATATAAGGAAAACAGGAAAGACAATATAGGTTAGGAGCATTGACTGTTTTAACAGCACAGTTGGCACTAGCATTTGCATCAGAAATCTGCTCACCTTGCTGGCCAACCTTCACCTGTTGAAGAAGCTGGTAGAGCTGACTGAGTTGCTCTTGAGTGATGACCTTCCCTCCTGCATTTCCTTCCATTGTGTTGACTGGCTGAGTTGTGTTTTCTTCATTCATGATTGCTGCATTGCTGTGAGGACCTCCTTGATACCTTTTGGATTTGGTAAATTTGAAAGTGGAGGGAAACCCCATGATTCTGTAGCATTTGTCAATGGAATGTCCAAGTTTCTTACAATAGTTGCACACCAGGTTATTCTTCTTTCCTTCAGGACTTGCTTTGAACTTTCCTTCTCCATTAGCATATTTCTGAAAATTTGTTTGCTGATTTTGTGCCAGGAAAGCAGTCTCAAGTGGATGTTGTGCAACATGAATTTCCCTTTGCTTCTCATCTTGAATAAGAAGAGTATAGGCTTGATTGACACTAGGAAGAGGAGTAATCATCATAATGTTACTCCTCACAGCTGAGTAGGTGTCATTAAGCCCCATGAGAAATTGGATGAGCCTACCATCTTGAAGGGACTTCAAAGTTCTTGACTTTCCTCCACAATCACACTCACAAGTGCAGTGCACACAAGTATTCAAGGTATCTAATTCATCCCAAGTCCTTTTCACCTTTGTATAATATCCTACTACATCAGAGGTCCCTTGCACCAGATCACTCAACTCCTTTTGCAACTGATAAAGTTGAGCACCATTATATTGTCCAAATCTAACCTCAAGCTCTTTCCAAATTTCATTTGCAGTTTTAGAGTAAAGAACACTTTCAGCTATGTCCTTAGACAAAGAGTTCAAGATCCATGATATAACCATATCATTGCAACGATTCCGTTGCTTGAAGTCAGTGGAAGAAGCATCAGGTTCAGAATAGGTTCCATCGATAAAGCCAAGCTTGTTCTTGGCAGAGAGTGCAATAACTATGGCTCTACGCCATCCTCTGTGCCATTTTCCATCAAAGACTGAGTTGACAAGAACCATCCCTGGTGAGTCAGATGGATGAAAATAAAAAGGGTGAGTGGAATCGATAACCACAGCTGTTGGTTGAGTGACTGTGCGAGCTGCAGAAACATTGGAAGAGTCATCTATGGAATTTGGTGCCATTTGAAAGGAGAAAAAGAAGATGACTGAAAAAATGTAGACTAGGGTTTCAGATAGCTACTGCTCTGATACCATGTAGAAATTTAGGAAAATTCTTTTCTCATTGATGATTCAATATTCTGTACAGTGTGTATATTTATACAAGGATTTGAAAATCAGCAAGGACAACTACATCAATACTAATTACAAGTGTTTAATTCCTATATGTTTTCCTATAACTAATTATACTATGAAATGTACAGATATTATCTAGCTGTAATTGATATGTACAAATATTATCTAGCTGTAATTTGCATTTGGATAAGAATGTTCTGGAAGGTTTGAGTGCCTTTCAGCTATATCCAATATGCTACAAAGAATGGACCGGATCTTAGCTGTAACAATAGGCCCAGTCCTTTGTTTGTATTGGGCTTCTGACTTGTGTTTTGTATGTTGGCCCAATTCCTTATTATACCCAATAAGTCCTTGTATAATAGACTTTGGTCTTTTACTTTGTTGATCAGTCGACCTACTTCTTGTCTCTTTCTCTCTCTCTTTGTCTTCGACTGTATCGTCTCTTTTTCGACCAAATTAGGGTCTAGGGTTTGATTAGAAGAATCTGATCCAACACCAAGATCTATTAAATTCTTATATCTTTTTCGAATTTGAAGTGGTTATTATTATTTAGGTATAATATTAATTTTTATGTTTAATTACTAAATTCGACTAATCTTGAAAGTTTACATCAATGAAAAATTATTGTCAGGCGACTAAAAAATAACTATCATGTGTTATTAAGTAAATTCTCCCATAAGAATATTTTAACGATAATATGTTTGTATGTTTGTTAATTTTTAAAAAAATTTCTAAACATATATTTACTTATAAAAAATTTAACAAAGATATTATCAAAAAAAAAAATTTAATAAATATTGAAATAATATTGAAGTAACAAAAACCCCGAAAAACCCGACAAAATCGAACCGATCCTAACCGATATAATTGATTTGGTTTGGTTTTGATAAAAACCGAACCAACTTGGTCCATGTACACCCCTACAGAACAGTCCTTGTTGTTGGGACCCTCCCCCAACCTTCCAAGAAGAGAGAAGGAAAAAGAAAAAGAGTAACGAGGGAGAAAATCTAAAAAAGAAGGAAAAAGGTTGCCTTTTATTTGGGGATGTCAAATGGACGGGTTGGGCTGATTTTGAGCAGGTCAAAATGGACCGAGTCAATAAGTGGGTCAATGACCTGCCGCAAAAGTTATTAGGGCTGAGATGGACTGGGTCAAGATGGGATAAAATTTGGGTTATAGCCCATCTCGCCAACCCTTACCAAACTTTAATTAATGTGTGTTATTTTCTTATGAATTGTTTAATTAACAAATAAGATTTTTTTTTCTTTTGTTATGGTCATATCTAACATATCAAATAAAAAACAATTATTTTAAATATATTTTAGCAAAATTACTCATGGATCAATTTGGGCTAAAAGTCAGCCCAACGTCAATTGGTTTTTTGGCTCTTTACTAGGGGTATCAATGTTTTGGTTTGGCCGGTTATTTTGTAAAATTTGTACCATACTAATTTTTTGGTTATTCTATTATGCATAACCAAAATTAGACTTTTCGAAATAGTCCCAATCATATCGGTTTCTCTTCGGTATCAGTACGGTTCGGTTAATTTTCGGTATTTTTTTTAAATATCATTTAAAAGTCACTAGTAGGAATATGATGTAATAACATACATACTTTTATAGGACTTAGCAAAACTCTCTAGACATTTTTACATTTGAAAGGGTGATGAATTAAGAAAATATGAAAGATGGCTAGAGTATATATCCATCAACTATTCTACAGCAGCGTAAAAGAAACTAAAAAAATTAATACAAAGAAAATATAAATCACACGAGTTGAAAGATATTAACCAAGCTGGGACTGAGACTCAAGAATAAAGTCTATAGAAGATTTAATATTCAAAAAGATATATCTAAATCATACGAAAGTATCTACTCATAATCGCTAGAATACCTTGTGTCTTAGCTTGCTAATATGCAAGAAATAATTTAGTTTCAATAGGAGTATTTGGGAATTAGGATTTTGAGTTTAATGACTTGTTGGCTTGTAACTGTTTTCATAACTCCAAGACCCAAGGATAATTTTAACGCTTTATTATTTTTAAAATTAATATATAAATATATTTTTCACACGTAAATTTATTCGGTACGGTTCGGTATTTTTTCGATTTATTTTTATAAAATAAAAAATCTACCCTAAATATCGGTATGGTTATAGGTTTATAAAGACCTACGGTTTTATTAAGTAAAATCTAAAAATCGGTTCGGTCGGTTTAGTCGGTTTTTAAATATTCATTGACACCCCTATTCTTCACAAACTTGTTTTTAGTTTTATGACCCTAGCTCTTTTTTAACACATAGGAGATTTACTTTTACACGTAAGAGATTTCTCTTTTACACACAAGAGATCTAAAAAGGTCATTTTCTTAAATTCAAAACTGTAAAGGGACATGATGTACAAACAACACTTTTTTTTTAATGAGTTTGGGCTCAATTTGCCACCCTACTTTTATTTGGGAACCTATGGCTGCATTGAGTTGGTTTCTTTAGCAGAAGAATATGTAAATTACTAAATTCTAGTAGTAATACTTGTGGAATTGAATTACATATGCAGAGATTGAATAGAATATTTAACAGCAGAAAAGGCTAGGTATTTTAGGTCAATACTGCAAATCTAAACTGCAGCAGCAGACCATATTTCCTGGCAAATATATTAAAGTTTACATCTAGGTTTAAGCAATGAGGAATGCACCTTCATATGCACAACTACTATGTTTTTACATTAAATCTAAGAAATGCATCACCTATAGTCCGACTTCTGGTGCCTGGAGCCTAAACTTGACCAACCATTGAAATGGTCTCAGCAACTGTGCTCTCTTCTTCCTCCAGAACCAAATGGCTGCATTGTATTGCTCATTACGAATTTTCCTTGTGGCAGCCCTCCAATCATACTTCTCCATTTCTACACGTGCAGCCTGGCCAATAGTTCCTCTCAATTCAGCATCGTGCAAAAGTGGCTTCAACTTGCTCAAGCAGTCGTCAAGATCCCCAGGATTAAACAGAAATCCTGTTTTTCCCTGCTGATCATCAGGAACAATATCTGGAATTCCTCCAGCACGGGCAGCCACTACGGGAAGTCCCGATGACATCGCCTCCAAAACGACGAATCCAAGTGTCTCAGACTCTGAAGGCATAACAAAAATATCTCCACTGGCATATGCCTGAGAAAGCTCCTCCCCTAGTAACATACCTGTGAACACCGCAGGCATGCCAGAGAACATTTTCTCCAATTCCTCCCTATATGAAGTGACAAAACAAATAATTTGTAGCTCAGCCTTTTATAAGAATGCTATCTACATTTCTTTCTCATGTTAGGCATACAGGCTATCAAGACAGGATATGCATCTCTTTTATAAACAGCAACGGGTTCCAGTGTCCACGTTCTCAATCAATCAAGCATTTGACAGTAGATTTTTCTCACACCAATCATGTCCCGTCAGGAACGGCTGCAGGCTATGCATTTGAAGACTGTTTTACTTCCAACAAATATTTTATTTTCAGAAAGTTTTACTTCCAACAAACATTTGACTTCTAAGTTTTTCATGTCCAAGCATACAAAAGCATCACTCAGCCCATTAGCTCCAAATTGACTTATGTTCCAAACTTGGGGTGCAAATCCAACAGTACTTGCCAGAGAAATAGAAGGTTTAATTTTAACAGAAGGAGAATACCAAGCTAATGTACTTTGACACATAGATGAGACCTCGAATTCCTATGTTCTGGCGTGCATTATGCCAACAGGTTCCACCACCAACTCTAGTTGAGAAGTAGAGTCACCCTTCTATTTTAATCTGTTTTCCAGAAATAGAATAGACTAAAGAATCACAAATCCACAGTTTGTCTATGACAGTGGATCTAATTAATTAGTGTCTGCCCCACTCTGGAAATGGAGATAGATACCCATATTAATAGCACATCGATTCCAGCATTGAATATGTCGGTGGATAAGTATCTACTGCATGTACGTATACATACATACTTATGTTCATAGCATATGTACATAAAGATATTTTGTCCGCATAGTGAATAATTCCAAAATTAATGATGGTATTGTATCACATATCTGCAGGGAATCGGAACTAAGTGAATAATTAGGGCACCATCGACATGCTTATTGTGATTCTTTTTTTTCACCATGCTTATTGTGAACTAGTGAATTATCCGCGCTTTGCGCGGCTATAGTATACCCTGTTAATTTTTGTTGTTTTTTTTAAATATTCAAATATTAATCTAAACCAAAAATATAATTGAATATTTTTAATGTATTCAAATATTTGGTCTTAAAACTTCTCTTTTGAGACGTTTTAATTTGTCTATCTATTATTGACGTTTTCATTTTGTTTTGGTGAGAGAATTACAAAAATATTTTTTCCTTTAGTCTATTTTGACAATTTGGGAACTCTTATCTTATAAATATTTGGTTACAATTTTATTTCTCACACAATAAAGTCTTTCTTTTCCCGCTAATATAAGTGTAATAAGCGTGTACATAAATTTATATATACGATAATCTTTGATATTAGTATGTACTAATTTGATTTCATTTCCTTGAAAAGTATTCGTACCTATATAACTGTATCCTATATAAAAGATCATAAAACTAAAGAAATGAAATAAAAACCTTAAACAGAACAAAGGCCGCTAGGACTTCATCTGTATACATTGTTCCACCATGTTGGATGAATTGGATTATTGGAACTTCTTGAAGTGATTATTCTTTTCTTCTTTCCTTCTGTGTTTCATTTTTTTATTCGAAAATATATCTATATGCCGTCAATTTAATTAAAAACGTACTGTAAATGCACCAAAAAGTACGGTAACTGCATTCTATGATATTTCTCAGAAAGAAATGTCAAACGTGATTTGGGATTCATATGCAATTTGTAGCATTTGTTGTCATGGAATATTAAATCAAAAGGCTTACTATCAAATTTTATAGATACCTCATCTTTGGCATGTTTCCACATCATTGGAGTGATTAACATTCCCAAGAAGTCTAAATATTTAAATATAATGAATTTTATACAATTGCTGACCACTGTTTTACGACTTCATTATGTCAACTTTTACACATACTTCACGTTTGATAATGCCGGATATAGAATAGAATATCCACATATATATACACACATGAACAAAACTACCAAAGAGAATACGGGTGAAAATAGATTTCTCAGTTGCTCTAAAATAAGAGAATCATGAGTAGCGCAATGAAAATTTTAATATTCGTGACAAATTTCATACTTATGGAAGCGCTACAAAAGGTGAATCACATAAATACATAATCATGCTGATCATTTGATAAAATAACGAACCTTTAGCAGAAAGAGAAAAGTAAAGGCAAAGCTTTTACATTTAAATTCGAGCATTAGCTACAACCCTACAACAGCCTAAAAGAGTAACATAATGTTCGAATCCCATACTGCCACAATTCACAAATAACATCATATGCTTTTTTCTTCCCCACTCTCCCACTCCACTCCCTAATCAATAAAAATTATGCACAAAAATTGGATATGAAATAATAATTGGGGTAAAATATAGAAGCTGGAAAAGAGGTAAAAAAAAAAATTCTATATAGAGAGTTTGAATGAAAGGAGAGGAAGGATGACGAAGAATAATAGGCCAAAGTTATGTTGATCATGAGAAGATTTACTTCAGTATTTATAGTAACCTATTCAATTAGTAACTTACATTGAGTATAATAGAAATAGATTGTAACGGATAATTGTAATAGAATTAGTGTTAGTGTATTAATTAGTAATTAATGTACATAAAATCATAATAACCAATTTGAAACGGCACTCTTTATACCTTACATCATGTATTGTTGAGTTCCAATTAAAACTTATATTCTTTTGAATGCAATAATTGGTTATTGTATCAAAATGAGAGGAGAAAAACCAAAAATTGAGATAATAGATAAATAGAATCCTTGATCATAGAGATGTGCCATGTCAGCATTATTTTTCCCTCCTTTATATAGATATATAGATTAACTCCCTGCCATTTCAACGAGCTAGCATTAACTAATCGACTGACAATGTGATGAAATTCACTGTTCACTAAGTTTATCACCTAATAAATTAAATGCTGATGCTTGACCAAGAAACTGTACCAATAATTCAGCAATGCCTATATGGCATATATAAGTTGCGATAGTTTTCAATTCTGGTTTATTAAAACATTACCTAAAGAGTAAGTAAAGCCACTTGGTAAAAGTTTTTGGTGAGATTATCCGGATTCCGGAAGCATACTGTTTTGCTGATTTTTGTCTCTTGTCCAACACACAAGCTAAACAACATTTCTAGCAATAGAAATCAAGAACAGTCAAATACAACTAATGTCCAGTCATGCTTCTTTTTTACAAAAGATTCTCACTCATGAGATCTTTTTAGACTTGACAGCCCAAGATTATCAAAAGAGGGCAACCAAAAAAAGAGAGAAGCAGCTTATTGTGCGTTGTACTAGATATCTAATGTATATTAGAGTGAAAGTACTAGTAAAAAACTCACGGTAAAGTTCTGAAAGCCAAGAAGCTAAAATTGTTACTGCAACTCACCTATATGGCCCATCTCCAATAAAAGCTATGCGAGCTTCTGGAAGTCTATCCATTACCCTGTTTCAAAGTCATTTTGAAATGTCATGTTCAAGTTATCAGCACCTTCATTCAATAACATAGCCATGCAGTTTCCTTGATACAGTATTTGCCCTTAATATGAGGATGATATACCTAGTCATATATTAGCCAAAAATGTAACTGTGATCCTTTCTCGTTAACAAAGAGAGGCAGTACCTTTTGAGGAAATCCAAATTCTTCTCCACTCCAAGTCGTCCAACATGTACTATCAATGGTTTATCAGGTTCCCCATTGCTGATAGTGAGGAGTAAGAGGAGAAAAGCAGAACGAATTATCAGTACATATTAAAGTTGTTTAAAACATAGTGGACGAAATCTTCAGCGGGAAGCTCCAACCTCAGTCTTAGTCGCATTTCATGAGACCGATACCGGGGGTGGAAGCTCTCAGAATCAACACCCTTGTTCCATAGACGTATTTTGTTAGCTGATAAATAGAAAAAGACGGGAATGGTCAACAACTCTGAGCAGTGGTTTAGCACCTAAAAGACGTTAATAGGAGAAAGCATCTAAGACCAATAAAAACCGCTTGACAGGACAGAATACAGTACTCTTCTTTCCTTAAATTGCTAATTGATAAAGTCAATGTTGTAGTTTGATTAACAAGTTCACCAATATGTCTTTACCTGTTGTTACCCTATAAGCTTTTAGATCCTTCGCAATAGCAGCAGACGGCACCAGTGTAAGATCAGCAGCTCTATGTAGAAACTCTGATAAGCAGTAATGATGTCTTAGTTAGTATTCAGAGCTTGAGACCCGGGAGAGAACAGATAATGCAGAAGAGAATGCTCTGCGCACATACTTAAAACCATCCACATAGGTTGCACCAACCAACTAAACGTATATCTAGGTATGTATCTGCAGAACAAGAGTCAGGATCAGCATTGAGCCCTAAATTAATAGATAAGGCTAGAAGAAGCTTCAGAAACTCATTCTTTATGTTTTTCATCAGGAAGATCAACAAAAGAAAAGGCGTTTGCTTCTTAAACCATGTCATTTAAAAGAAGCTATCAAATGTTCCATCTGGAGCCAAGATATGCCAGAAGTGTGAGCTTACACAGGCACATGCGTGTGATACGACATCACTATCGGCACGCATAACAGTTTTGCAATGATAAGAGCACCAAATACCTAAAAATAGAAACAAAAAACAAAATTATCTAAGTCAGCAAGCTGGGAAAAAAATCAGAACCACCTTAAGCTCCTTCAAGCGACAAGACAAACATCACTTAATCACTGAAAGGAGGCAAAAAGCAACTGAAACTTACCATTATACCAGGAGAAGATGCATGTATGATATCAGGCTTGAATCGTTTCACTTCTGAAATTATTCTTGGGCTGAGAGCAAGCGACAGGGGTACTTTTTGGTACCAGGGGCAGGGAAAACTGCAAATAAAGTAAGCATTTTCTAAAAAACTAGCCAAATACCGTATATGGACAATATTTAATAGTCATGCACCCTTAAACCTCACTGATTTTATGCTGATTTGTCAGACAGAATTGAGTAAATTTATTCAGTAAAAATGAAAACGAACTACAAATGGAAGTAGAAGCTGCAACCTTAGTGATCCAATCAACTTTGCTCCATAGAACTCTTGAGGAACTCCTTCATGTGTCGTCACAACCATAACCTGTACTACAAAAATAATAAAGGATGATAAGTGGCCTAAACATCAGCTGAAAATCTTCACTTCCGAGCCCCCTATGTACTGGCTTACTCAACAGTTTAAAACTATGGCTAATGTATTTTTTACGGTTAGTTCTTGTGAATTAAATGACCGTAAGAATAGCAGTTTGTAGGATATGTGCAGACAAAATATATCAAGATTGCTTGAAATTGGTTCCAGGGAAACGGAACTAGTAGAGGTCAAGATTGTAAACTCCTGATTGGCAAATAGCATCATGAGAAAGCTCAAAATGAATATAATTTGCTCAAACATATCGAGCGCACGGTACAGCAGTAAGTACAGAAGACCAAAAGAACACCAGCAACTATCAGTAATCAATAAAACTCTTGTCAGACGAAGAGTATACCTCATCTCCCATTTCACGTAGATATCTTATAAAATTCTGGAATCGATTTTTATAGCCAGATACATACCTGCACATTTCACAAAGGAAATTGGCGTATGAAAGAATGTCGCCTCAATCAAGTAGAAAATATAATTGTATAAAAGATATGCTGCAAAAATACTCTAATATACAAATCAAAAACCTTCGTTATAGGAGAAACAAATGATTAGCCATCACATTAGCAGTATCTGTCGGTATATATGAATGGATTTAAGTCATATGCACTAATAATGCATTTTTTTACAGCATTGTGTTTAAGTTAACCTGTTATAACATGTTATTTACCATTTATACCAGGTTATCAATTAATGTTATTAAATAGAGTTACCCACCTGACATTTAAAAAAAAAAAAAAGCAGCCTGATACCTGACATAATGGTGTAAATATTTTTTATACTGACTGATCAGAAGGGTTGCAAAAGATATTAGACCTAACGGATCACTCAAAGACAATTCAGCAAACAGAAAGAGCATAGCAGCAGTAACTAGAACCGAAGTTTAGTAATTAACGCCAACAATTTGGGTTCAAATTATAAAGGGAAAAAGGTATACTCACGCAAAAGGAGAAGGCTCAACAAAGATAGCAATACGTCTAGGTTTAGAACTAATTTCAGAGTCAAGCAAAGGAGGAGGTCCCTCTTCCTCTTCTTCCCTAATTGTCATGTTGCTATTGCTAGCTGCAATTAATGGTCTTTTCTTCAAGTGTCTTTCTCTAATGTTGGGCTGCAAAAAACTGACTTTAGTGCATATTAGATTAATGGGTTTTGTTCTTGAAGTACAAAAGCAAGAAAAATCATGAAAAGTTGTGGGAGCTGAAATAAAACAAGAAGTAGTAGTAGATGAAGAGGAAGAGAAAATAGGATTTATTAAGAGAGAAGAAGTGGACATGGTGAGTTGTGTTTGGATAATGAATATTGTAAAAGTATATTGAGTTTGAATTTGGTTAACTCAGAAGTGGGAAGAGAGAGAGAAACTGAGGTGCCATTTTAAGGGAGTGCGGCAATGGATATTCGGAAGAGTGAAATGGGGAATAATTGGAAGGTACTGAAAGAGTATATGCCACCACCTCACAAGGCTTCTAACAGGATATTATTGCCCCTCTTTCATTGGATCATTGTCATTCGCAGATAAATACTTACTTTCCCTTCCAATTTATGTATAACTGTAAATTAATTTATTAATATGAAAAGGTAATATTCTTTTTAAAACTGATTAAAAAAAAGTCATATGAATTAAGACGATGGGAATACTATTTTTGTTTTATTTTTATATTAAATAAAATAATTTCAGATTAATTTTTAACATTTGGTTGTCGTCGCATAAGTGCTATAGTAACATTTTTGCTAGGTCCATATGTTTTTTTATTTTTAGAAGTTTTTAACACGAGAAATAGTTAAGTTGTTAGATGGTTCAGTACCTGACATACTCAATCATTTTCTATTTACTTAATATATATATATATATATATATATATATATATATATATATATATATACATATATATATATATATGCGCGTGTATCTTATCTAAATAATTAATAAGCTTTTAATAGTCATATAAATTTTAGAGGTCCTCGATCATCCACCAATATATTTGATGGGTTTACAGTACCTTAGCTTTATGTTTAGATGATCTAACAAACTTACTGTCAAAGAACAAGATAACGAACCTGATACACTTGGTACACAACTCAAATCAACGGACTTAAGCCAATGTGAGCTGCAATGACTTCAGAAGATAAAGAATCAACACAGGAACCTGATCCTCTTAGGTTCCCCTGACAGCAGTACGAAGTCAACTGTCTACAGCTGGAAAGTGAACTGCATGCACCGTACACGCAAACAGTGCAGCACGGTATAGCAGTCACTTCTCATTGACCAACCAAGTGATTACATCATTCAAGTGATGTCATCTAAGTTGTATTAACAAAGAGCATTACAACAAAACATCACTTGAACACTTGAGAATTCATTCAAGCACTCCAATCGTCTATCCATCAAGCATTCAATTCTTAAGTGCATCAAGAACAAAGTACAACCCTACTACGGACCAGTTCCTACAGCAAGTATCTTGTGCGTCCTTAGTTGAGTTGTAACTTTGTAATTATTCTTCATTGTAATTCCTACTTTGCTTATCTAGAAGCTTTAATTAGGAACCCCTTGTAAACCATAAACCTTTAGTGTTTGTGTTGTGACTAGGGTTAGTCATGAGTTAAAGTCTTTATAATAGGTGTATTGCAAAGTGGCTTGTAATAGGTGTATTATAAGTTAGTGAGGGATTAAGAGTTTAATTCCGAGATTGCATAGGTTGTAATCTAAAAGATTGCTCATAGTGAAGTTGAAATCCTACCAGTGTAGGTCGTGGTTTTTTATCCCCTTGAACAAGGATTTTTCCACGTAAAAGTTCCCTGTTCCATTTACTTACTGTTTCATTAGCATTATCTGTGGAAACCTATATATGACCTGGTCTCTATATAGTTTGATGGACTCATATATTCTATCAATTGGTATCAGAGCGGGTTCTTTCTATCGCGTTAACACCTAGAAAGGATCCTCATGGCTGCTCCACCAAATTTTGAAGAGCGCTAGTCTACCTACAGACCACCCAGGTTCAATGGGTAATACTATGGGTGGTGAAAGACAAGAATGCATGACTTTATCATGGCAGAAGATTCCGAGTTGTGGGATATTATTTGTGATAGTCCTTATTTCCATACAAAGAAGGTCGGAGACCCTGCTGAGACAGTGCCTAAGACGAGGAGAGAATACAACGATACAGATAGGAAAGCTGTAGAGAAAAACTTTCGTGCCAAAAAAATTTTGCTGTGTGGTATAGGACCTGATGAATACAACAGAATCTCATCCTGTCAATCCGCCAAGGAGATATGGGAAGCTTTGCAAAGAGCACACGAGGGAACTACTCAAGTAAATCAATCCAAGATTGACATGCTCACCACTGAGTATGAGCTCTTCAGAATGAAGAACGATGAATCTATTCAAGACATGCATACAAGATTCACTTCCATCATAAATGAGCTACACTCGCTTGGTGAAATCATTCCTAGGAACAAGCTCGTGAGGAAAATTCTCAGTGTCTTGCCCAGTTCATGGGAGAGTAAAGTTAATGCCATTATTGAAGCAAAGGATTTGTAGGCGTTAACCATAAATGAGTTAGTTGGAAATCTAAAAACCTACGAAATGAAGAAGAAGAAGGATAGTGAAAGAAGAGAACCAAAGAAGGAAAAGAACCTGGTACTCAAGGCTGTAAGAAATGACTCAAGTGGGGAGGACAGTGACATGGCCTACTTAACCAGAAGGTTTCAGAAAATGGTCGGAAGAAATGGAGGTATACCAAAGAGAGGCGGTTCCAGCAAACCAAAGAATTATGACCTCTGTCATAAATGTGGAAAGTCAAGGCATTTCATCAAGGATTTTCCTCTCCTGAAGCAAGAATATTTCAAACACAACTCTAATAAAGCAGCCAAGAGGAACCCGATTCCAAACAAACGCTTTAAAAGAAAGAACGTTGCTGACAATGTTGTGAAGCAAGCTCTTGCAGCATGGGGAGATTCCTCCAGTGAGTTTGATAAAGAAAATGATGCAGGTGCTAGCACTATGATGGCAGTTAAAGGTGAAGCCAATGAATATGATTCAATATTTGCTTTGATGGCTCAGTCAGACAATGATGAAGATGATGACAATAATGAGATAAATTTTAGGGATGTTCAGAGAAATCTGAAATCCAACTCTCCTAAGAAACTCATGTCATTAGCAAATGTATTAATTGATGCCTATCATAGTCATGTAGATGATAAGGATGCCTTAACCATAGAATTAGAAGATGCTGAACAAACTAGAGATGACTTGGTAATCTGTGTGGTTGATTGAAGGAAACCATAGATAATCTGGAAAATGAAAAGGATGTTCTAACTAAGAAAATTGACAGTGTAGAACATGAAAGAGACGATCTGATGGTAGTAGTTTTTGACTTAAAAGAAACCATTGAAAATTTCAGTAAAGAAAAGAATGACTTAGTGGAGAAAGTTGATGCATTGGAGTAAGAAAGAGATGACCTCTTAGTTGTGATTATAGACTTGAGGGAAACAATAGAGGAACTCAAAGCAGAATGTAGGCCTGGAAATTTTGAGAAAGGAAAAGAAGTTGCTAGCGAAGCACATATTAGGCTTGAAAACGAGTTAAATGCTGTAAAAACTAGTTTATGTGCTGAACTTGAGAAAAATAGACAACTTCAAGCAGAATTGGAAAGAGTAAAAAATGATCTTGAGAAGTCTCTTAAGTGGACCTGGTCCTCGGATGCTATTACTGCCATGTACGTTAACAATGGTGGAAACAGGCGAGGAATAGGGTTTCAAAGGGTGAGAACTCCTTATAACCCTCATAGCAAATATGTTACTGTACCTGATAATTGGTTGTGTATCCACTGTGGGAACAATGGGCTTTTCAAAGAAAATTGCCAAGCCAGGGTTCAGTCTCTTCAGAAAAATAAAGTTTTTGTTGAAAGAGGACCAGGTGCCACCCATAAAAAGCGCAAGTTACCTGCATGGACTAGAAAAGAACTTATTCATCCTCTTGTTTATTACAAGGGACCCAAACTTACTTGGGTTCCTAAATCTAACCCTTGATTTCCTTGTGCAGGGAATAGTGAAAGGAAGCAGTCAACAATGGTTCATGGACAGTGGATGCTCAAAGCACATGACTGGGAATACAATGGACTTTCTTTCACTAAAAGCCCTGCAAGGAGGGAGTGTATCCTTTGGCAATGGAAAAAAGGGGTACATTCTTAGAGTTGGAAAGAATGAGAACTTACTCACTCACTCTATTGAGAATGTGTATTATGTAAATGGTCTCAAGTACAGTCTCTTGAGTGTTTCTCAAATATGTGATAAAGGAAACAAAGTGGAATTCTTGTCAAGGATATCCACAGTTACAAATCTAGTAACTAGTGAAGTGGTACTTGTGGCCAAAAGATACAAGAGTATCTACGTTGGTGATTTTGAGTCCCTACAAAGTGGTGATCTGAGTTGCTTGAAAGCAGTTGATGATGATGCTGAGCTGTGGCACAGAAGACTAGGGCATGCAAGCTTCTCTCTACTGAATAAATTGGTTCAGAAGGACCTGGTTCGTGGTCTGCCCAAGTCAAAGTTCAAAGAGCACAAGGTTTGTGATGCCTGCGCTAGAGGGAAACATGTGAAATCATCATTCAAGCCAAAGAAGGATGTCAACACCTCAAAACCACTTGATCTCCTTCATATGGATCTATGTGGTCCCATGAGAGTGCAAAGTAGGGGAGGAAAAAGATACATTTTTGTGATAGTGGATGACTATTCCAGATTCACTTGGACTCTGTTCCTTAGAACAAAAGATGAGACTTTTGAAGTTTTTGTAGCCTTTGTGAAGAAAATTTAAGTGAAGATGGAGTCAAAAGTAGCATGCATTAGATCAGATCATGGAACAGAATTTGACAATGCTAAGTTTGACGAATTCTGCAACGAAAATGGCATTACCCATAACTTCTCAGCCCCAAGAACTCCACAGAAAAATGGAGTTGTGGAAAGGAAGAACAGAACTCTTAAAGAAATGGAAAGAACAATGCTGATAAATAGTGGGATTGCTAAGAACTTCTGGGCTAAAGCTGTCAACACTGCCTGCTACTTGGTGAACAGGTGCATGATCAGGTCTCTCTTGAACAAAACACCCTATGAGTTGCTGAATGGAAGGAAGCCCAAGCTGACTCACTTAAAAACATTTTGGTGCAAATGTTATGTCCTCAACAATGGCAAGGATCAGCTTGGAAAATTTGATGCAAAGAGTGATGAAGGGATCTTTTTGGGATATTCTTCTCAGAGTAAAGCCTACAAGGTTTACAACAAGCGGACTCAGTGTGTTGAGGAAAGTGTACACATAATATTTGATGAGTCCTATCTCTCCTGTGAGAAAAGCAACATAGATGATCAAGATGGAGTGCCTATGTTGGTTCGAGGTGAAGTCATTGATATGGCAAATGGAAAGGCAGACATGATGAGTCAAGTGAAGGAG